GTCGATGCATCGTCGATGCATCGGCGCCGCATCGGCGACGCACTCGCCGTGGGGGAGCCAGTCCTCCTCGGGCGAAAAAAACTATCCCCATCGGTCGGAAGAAGTAGTTAGAAATATGAAGTAGGACGGCGTTGAAAGTAGAATGGGTGTCCGCTGGCCCCCTAACGAGTACGGAAGAGGGGACGCCACTCGATCATTGAAGTAGGAAGGCGCTTAAAGTAGATTAGAATCTGGGAATCCCGCTCCTTGGCCGAGCTCCTCCTCCTCCTCCTCCTGCTCCTCCTCTTCCTCCTCCTCCTCCTCCTCCTCCTCCTTCTGCTCCTCCTCCTCCTCCTACATCTCACCTACTCCTCCTCACCACCTCCTCCTCCCAGATAGGGTCGAAGGATCGCGACTCATCGACGATGCATCGCCAATGGAGACGTAAGACTCAGGTTCGGAGGACTCAGGCTGGCCTCTCGGAAGGACAGTGACGAGGCCCAATCTGAAATTGGACGCGAGCTCCCCGCTGCAAACATTCCACGGACCTCCTCGTCCTCCTGCTCCTGGAGGAGCGTAGGGCCACAGGCCCACCCAGGGCCCGCGAGCGGTGCACATGCCTCCCTGGCCAAGGAAGGGGGTCGTGTACACCGATCCGTGGTCGAAACGATGTGGTCCGAGTAGATGAGGTCGAAGATCGGGGAGACGAAAGACTACAGTCAACCCGTATAGTAAGGATGTGCGATAAGGATGCAAGGGCCTTGGGAACCCATTTCGAAGCTTCTCGACCGGGGCGCGGCCAACGGAAGTGGCCGAGGATGGACCGAGGAGGCAGGAATGCAAGGGTACCCTTGGGAAGGTTGCCCATCCTTACTATGCGGGTTGACTAGGGCTCGGGGGCCTCGGGGTGGCCTCACGAGGCCGTCGGGAAACGAGACCCAGTCTGAAACTTGACGCAAGCTCGCGCTGCAACCATTTCACGAAAACTGGAACATCAAATTTCAGGACTAGCCTGTCAAAGAGCGTTGGCAAATCCTCGTGAAGGAAAAGGAAGCGCAGTGCGACAACATCTCTACATATCCAAGGCCAATGGCCAGGCCCATCCTGGGCCCACGAACGGTGCATATGCCTCCCTGGTCAAGCCATGGGGGCGCGCATACCGCTCCTTGGCCGAGCAGACGAGGTTCGAGTCGATAGGATCGAAGGATCGCGCCTCAATGGCGACGCATCGGCGCCGTCGGCGTGGAGAATATCGGGCTCCACATCGACCCGCATTGCCGATGCACCTGCGATGCGGCGCGATCCTCCGACCCCATCTACTCAGACCCCATCTGGCAGGGCTAGACTCCTGGATGAGCAGGAACCGGCACAACCACATGATCGGTAACTTGTGCTTGGCGTGCCACGGCCGCGGCTCCGTCGACCCGCTGTGCAGTGTGAGCAGATGGCGTGCCGCACCGCTCCGCAGGGCGGGCTGCTGGGAACGTCGCGGCACGATGCCGCTCGGCAATTCCTCAGGAGGCGGCTGGCATGCCGCGCCGAGGTTTGGCGGGCCAGGCCGAAGCGGCATGGCGCGCCGCTGGCTCTGGCTTGGCGCTGGGCCCCTCCGGCGGCGCCTCTGGCGCGCCGCCCCTGGTGCGCTGCACGCCCTGTGCTGCGGGGGTGCAGCGCCGACCCGAGGAATCCGCGCGGACCTCCGAAAGATGCCGGCAGGCACGCGGCGTCCTGCTCTCTCCATGGCGGGGTCCCCGGAAGAATCCAGACCCTTTTCCCCGAGGCCGGGCTTCTCACCCCGCGCCGTTTTCTGACGGCATCGGGGCCCGGCGAGGGCCCCCAGAGCCCCGAGGCGGCCAAAGTTGGCCCGTCGTGATCTTTTCCTCGACGCGACGTTTTGCCCCCCCTTCGATCCTCCTGTGCGAGGGCGTCTGCCAGCGCGTCCAGCCGCGGTGCATCGGGGATCTCGCACGACTCCAGCGGCTTCCCGACGGGGAACAGGGACGACCGCTTCTTGACGGCGGGGGACCTTCGAATGGAAAGGCCAAGGTTCGCTCGGGGCTGGCTTTCCTCCAAAACGACCAAGCCCTTCCGGAACCCATCCAGAACCCTCCGAGAAGCTTCCCCGAACCCTTCGGAAGGGTTCCGGAAAATTTCGGGAAGCTTTCGGTCGCTTTGAAGAGAAGTGGAAGCGGAAAACCAGTTCCTAGCGAACTCTGGCCTGTCTAAACCGAATATACGGCCGTTCGATTGTTGGTCGATGCGTGGGCCCTGGAGATCTGGACTACTTTCCTAGGGCCAACGTTTCGTCACGAGCCGTTTTGTGACGGTTTCGGGAAGCTTTCGGTCGCTTTGAAGAGAAGTGGAAGCGGAAAACCAGTTCCTAGCGAACTCTGGCCTGTCTAAACCGAATATACGGCCGTTCGATTGTTGGTCGATGCGTGGGCCCTGGAGATCTGGACTACTTTCCTAGGGCCAACGTTTCGTCACGAGCCGTTTTGTGACGGTCCCGAGGCCCGGCGAGGGCCCCTGGAGGCTGAAAACGGCCCCAAACCCGCCGCTCCAATTCTCTATTGGAGCGTCGGATCTCTGGGAACCTTGGAGGAACAACGAAAAACTGTATGAACATTCGCTTTCGGAGGTCCGCGCGGATTTCTTGGATCGGTGCCGGCTCCCTCTGGCGGCGGTTCTGGCGCCGCCCAGGGCGCGCTCCGCGCGCCAGGGAGGGGGGGCAGCGCCGATCCAGGAAATACGCGCAGACCTCCGACAGTACATGCTTACGCTATTGCTTGTTCCTCCAGGGTTCTAGGCCTCCCAGGTGGAGTCCGAGCAGACGGGTTCGGTGCATCGCGCCGCATCGGCGATGGGGCTCGATGTGCAGCCCGACATTCTCTGCGCCAGCGTCGCCGATACATCGCCGACGTCGCCGACGCATCGCCGATGCATCGGTGATGCATCGACGATGCCGATGTTTACGCCGCTGTTTGTTTCTAGGGCTCTAAGCCTCCCAGTTTGAGTCCAGTTCTGAATCGGCGCTTCCCCCCCCCCCCCCCCAGGGCTCCGATCCGAGTGGTCCGCGCGGACCTCCTGAAGTTGACTTCATGCCGGAGCTCGGAGGAACGGGTACTGATACCGCTGGGAGGCCCTGGTCGCCACCGCTGGATTCTTCCAGAATTCTTGCCAGAACGCACCCCATGAGGGGTCTGGGGAGTAGCGGTGTCGGTACCATGTGGCTTCCCCAGGAACTAGGGGGCTCCCAAATGGGGTCCGAGTAAATGGGGTCGGAGGATCGGGGCGCAACGTCGGTGCATCACCGATGCATCGGCGATACGTCGGCGACGCTGACGCAGAGAATGTCGGGCTTCACATGGAGCCCCATCGCCGATGCATCGGCGATGCGGCGCGATGCACCGAACCCGTCTGCTCGGACTCCACCTGGGAGGCCTAGAACCCTGGAGGGACAAACAATGGCGTAAGCATGTACTGTCGGAGGTCCGCGCGTGTCTCTTGGATCGGCGCTGGCCCCCCCCCTCCCTGGCGCGCGGAGCGCGCCGAGGTCGGCGCCAGAAGCGCCGCCAAGGGGTTCTGGCGCCGATCCGAGGAATCCGCACGGACCTCAGAACATAGAGGCTCATGCTGCTAATCAGGGGCGTTGCCAGGACTGGACTTGGTGGGACCTGGTCTAGGGATGTGTACTGGGGGGCGCCCCCTGCCCCGTTCCATCAACCAGAACTGCCGCCACCCGAGGAGACACCAGCAAATACGGCAGACTTGGTTCACTTACTATGGCCATCGTTCTTGGGCTTTGGGGCCGAACGCTCCTCGGCTCCCCATTTGCCCTTCACTCGGGCATGTCCCTCTACAGGAGGAATATTGAAGCACATACAAAATAGCCAGGTGTGACGATTTGTCGTGTTTGTTTGCTTGTGCCTACTTATGCTTCACAGCCTCTTCTACTTGTCTTCCAGAATCCGCCCGTAGGAGGACATGCCCGACCGAGGCCTCGGGGACGCGTCCGTGTCGGAGCTGCAGGGGCGCTCCAGGCTCTGGCTGCGCACCGCGGACACGCCGGGGCACGCCAGCGGTGCCGCGGCCGCGCCGCCCGCGGCGACGCCGCCCCGAGGCAGCGACGGCACGCTGTTGCGCCGCCTGCCCGCCCGCGGCCGGGCGCTCCGCAGCTTCGGCTCCCGGCTGCCCTCCGCCGCCGCTTCCTGGCGGGGCCCCGGAGCCGTGTGGTGACGGACGGCGCGGAGACGCCGGAATCCCCAGCCCCGTGCCATCGCTCGGACGTCCCTTCCCCGTGCCCTGCTCGGCTTCCTGCGTGCATGTTTCGCCAGGTGCCTCAGGATGCTCCTCGCGGGCCCCCGCATGCGAGAGGAGCAGTGCGCACGACCGAGCGATGCCAAGGGCCCCGGACAGCATCGCGCCGTGGAGCATTACCCCCGCGGCGGGAGGTTTGGGCCGGGCCCTCGCCCGCCCCGGGGGCCGCCCAAGAGCGGCTCGGGATGGAGCACGGGTCCTGGGGAGCGGGAGGACTCTTCGGGTGACCCCGAGTGAGAAAGGAATCGGGACCTCGCATGTCTGGGACGACCTCGCCGCGCGGTCCACCATCGCACGGCTCTGGGACCTCGAGAGGCCCTCGTCGCCGGAGACATCCTGTGAGAACGACCGCGTGTTTGGAGGCCTCCCAGATAGGGTCGGAGTAGATGGGGTCAGAGGATCGCGCCGCATCGGCGATGCATCGCCGACGCGTTGGCGACGCACCCACGACGTCGGCGATGCATCGGCGACGTCGGTGTGGAGAACAGCGGGCTCCACACCGAGCCGCATCGCCGACACCTCGGCGATGCGGCGCGACCCTCCGACCCCATCTACTCCGACCCCACCTGGGCGGCCCGGAGTGGTTGTCCCAGAGATCCTATGTCGTGATTTTTTCAATATACGCGGTCCCCGGAAGTCTTGACCCATTCCCCAGGACCGGTTTTTCATCCTGAGTCGTTTTTTTGACTGCCCCGAGGCCCTGCGAGGGCCCCTGGCGCCCGAAATTTGCGAAAAACCTCCGTCTTGATTTTTTCAATGCGCTGGATCCCTGGGGACCCGACTTCCCACCTGCATCACCGTGCGGCCTGGCCACCACGACGTTCGGGCGCCCCCGAGTCCTGCTCGGAGTTCTCGGGCGACGTGGCCGGGGCCTGGCCGCCGCGCCCCCTATCAGAACCGACCCCCCGGGGCCCACTGCCATGGCCTTGACCCCACCAGCCGATCCCCCCCCCCCCCCAGATGGGGATCCGGACTGTTCCCTCCGGGTCTCGAGGGGCCCCATGATGGCAGGGGGATCCGGGCTGGTCGCTTCGGGCTTCGAGGGGCCCTAGATGGGGGGGGGGGGGGGATCCGGGCTGCTCCCTTCGGGTTTCGATGGGCCCCAGATGGGGGGGATACGGGCTGTTTCCCTTCGGGGTTCGAGGGGCCCCAGATGGGGGGGATACGGGCTGTTTCCCTTCGGGGTTCGAGGGGCCCATCCTCAACTTGGGTGGGGATCCCAGACCCCTGGCGTCATGATTTTTCAGAACGTCGATCCCAAGAGATCTTGACCCACTTCTCGGGACCGATTCTTCGTCCCTGGTTTGGGACCGATTCTTCGCCCTGGCTTTTCGTTTGACGGCCGCGAGGCCTGGCAGGGACCCCAGGGAGCTGAATACAGCGGAGAACCCTCTGCCGTCTTCTCGTGACCCGAGGGGGTCTGGGACTGTGGGTGAGACGCCATGGCCCCGTGGGGATGGGGGCCGGCTCCACGACCTCCTGCCCCCCCGGAGCCTGGCGCGGCGCTGCTCTGGCCGGAGCAGCACCTCACCGACGGTGGTCGGCGGCAGCAGCGGCAGCTGCTCCTCGGCCGGGGGCACGCCCCAGAGCGCCTCCTCCGTGAGGGCCAGCGCCCGCTCGAGCGGCCCGCGGAGGGTCTCGCTGCGCCTCCGCAGGCTCTGCCGCAGCTGGGCGGCGGCCTCCCGCACGAAGGCCAGCAGCCAGAGGACGCGCGCGTAGCCGCCCATGCGCTGCTGCCGGCTGTTGCCGTAGCTGCCCAGCCAGGTGAAGGCAATTCGGCAGAGCGCTTCCGCGAGCGCCCTTGCGCCGAAGCGGGCCCTCCTCCCCACCTCCTTGGAGGTGGCGCGCGTGACGTGGCGGGCGGCAGGGCCATCGCCCCCGCCCCGGAGAGCCTGATGCCAGGTGCCCATCCGCGTCATGTCGCTGGGAGCGTCCAGCTTCCGGACTGCCAGTGCCCTCTTGCTCTGCCTCGCCCCCGCGAAGGGGGTGGGAGACGCCACCGCAGCGCTGCGCTTCTGCTCGCGCGACAGCTCCTGCTGCCTCGCCTTCTCGCACTGCCTGGCGAGCTCCACCACCCGCCTCCACGGCGCCACCTCGTCGTCTCGAGAGCTGAGCGATGACCGCGAGAGCGAGGGCGGCGGGGGCCCCTCCCCGCAGCCTTCCTGCGCCTCGCGCAGGTGCAGCAGCGCCTCCTCGCCCAGGGCGTCGACCGTCTCCACGGACTCGAAGATCCCCCGGAGCTGGTGCGTCGAGCTGAGGGCGGGGACGAGGCCAAAGTCGGCGCAAAACTGCTGGAACTCCCGGAAGCCCATGCTGCCGCCCTCCGCGTAGCAGGCGTGCAGCTGCCTGAAGAGCGGCATGTACACGGCAAGAACATGCAGCACCTCCGGCTCCACGAGCAAGGAGCGCAGCCGCTGCTCCTTCATGAGCTCCTCCCGGAAGATGTTCACGTTCTGTGGCATCTCCGGCACCTGGGCGGTGGCATGGCACGGGCCTCGCGCGGGCACCGCGACGCTGCAGCGGTGGAACACGCGGCCCGCCGGCGCGGCGCACCGCGTGGAGACGAGGGCGCCTGCAAGCGCCCCGCGCGGCGCGGGCAAGTCAGCTCACGCTCCAGTGCCCGCGCAGTGGGCCCCGCTTTGCCTTCGTCGCTCACCTGTGCGCCCAAGACCTCCTCGTCATCCGCGGCCTCCGAGTCCTGCACCATGAAGTCGAGCCAAGCCTTCGCGCTGGAGCCCTTGTCGGCGAACACGCGGGCAGGCAGGACACCGGAGAGCAGGTCGCCGAGCTTCGCGTCATCTACGCCGCTGTCCTCGATGACGGACTCGGGCAACCTCAGCCTCACGATGTCCAGCAGGGCGGAGACGAACGTGCTTTTCGTGGACGAGTTGCTGAAATGCTGCCGGAAGACGTGGCTCATCAGCGTCAGGAAGAGCCGCCAGCTCAGGATGGGCTGCACGACCATCCCGTTGGGCTGCCCGCGCAGCGGGACCGACACGAGCCGAGCCAGGGAGTCGAACTGCGAGACGAGGCGGAAGTACGGCACCCTCTTCTGGTCCACCAGGCCCAGGTCCAGCACGAGGCGGCAGAACGTCGGGCGCTCGAGGCCCAGCAGGCAGCCCGGGCCCTGGGCCGCGCGGGCCCAGAGGCTGGCCACCTGCAGCACCGCCAGGATCTCCGGGAAGGAGAGCAGCCACCCCTCCTCCGGCGGCATCTCATGGGAGCCTCCCGCGCCGTCCTGATGGCTCGACGCGGATCGGCGCCAGTCGAGGCTGCTCGGCGCCAAGTCGGCGCCACATCGGCGCCGATTCGGCGCTTGCCCACCGATTCCCGAAAACGCTGGCGCGCGCTGGGGCACTCTACGAGCGGAATTGCGAGGACATGCACAAGGCTCCCATGATTTGCTGCCGAACCCTCCCTCTGGATCTCGACCCCCGAGGACTCCAAGGTCATCTCGCGCAGGGTGCTGTTCTCCCTCTCGATCAGGACGCGGTTCTGGTAGTCCGCCCCCCGGTCTGCCTCGGCCGGCAGCAGGTCGTCCCTTCCAGGGGGCCACATGCGAACCCTACCCCTACCCCTCACGATTTCTGAGGGGGAGGATGGGGTTCACTTCGCTCCCCCCACCCCCCCCTCAGAAATCGTGGGGGGTAGGGGTATAGGGTTCGCATGTGGCCCCCTACCTGCGCACCCACGGGGGCAGCCCGAGCTCGAAGCCCGCGATCCCGCAGAAGAGCAGCTCGAGCTGCCGGGACCGCACGTCGTCGACCCTCACGCGCTGGTCGGGCGGCACGGCCCACAGCTTCCCGCCCCGCTCCTCTGGGAGGGGAGGGCCGGCCGAGACCTCGAGAGGTGCGGTGCCCAGGTGCTTTCGGCACGGAGGGGCCACGAGAGGGGGGGGGCTGGCCTGAGGGGGGGGGGGCACGGGTCGACCTGGAATCGGCGATGCATCGCCGACGGATCGGCGACGGGGTCCCGAGGAATCCGCGCGTTCCTGGACAGGTTGGGGCTGTCGGGCCCCTGTCGGCGATCAACGGGCGATTGGAAATCGATGCCTCCCCCCCTGTGCCCTTCATCCTGCCCTGTCAGTCCCCCTGAGGCACGGGGTCCCCGAGAGTCAGCAGCAGATCTTCTACCCTGTTTTCCCCGCAGCAGATCTTCTACCCTGTTTCGGGCGTTGGCACAACTTGGTTTAGCGGGACCTGGTTTAGGGATGTGGACTGGGGGACGCCCCCCCCCCCCGCCCGTTCCACTAAACGGAACTGCCGTCGCCCGAAAGAACACCAGCTACGGCAGACCTGGTTCAGTGAGCCTGGCACAGGTAGGGGCTCCAGGGCCCTGCTGCTGACCGGGCCCCTTGGCGGCCCCAAAGCCCGGCGACAGGCCGAACACGGCACGGAACCTGCCGCCGCGCCCTTCCTCACAACGCGGGCACGCCTGCGGGGCAGCGGCGGCCCCACACGCCCGGCCGTCCCGCACATCGGCCGCAGGCATCCCTGGCCCGTTTTCCGGGGCGGATCGGGCAGGCAGCGGTGGACCAGGGAGGGCCGCCACTGTCTCGAGTCTCGACCGGCCCCAGAGGAAACGCAATGGCATAACACACAAACTTTCGGACCTCCGCGCGGATTGCTCGGATCGACGGTGGACCCATCTCCCTGGCGTGTGGAGCGCGCCAGTGGCGGCGCCGGAGGCGCCGCCAGGGGGGCCCAGCGCCAGAAGGTCCGACAATTTTTATCATGCCGTTGACAAGACCCAGACATGCGATGTCTTGCTTTTGTTCCATACGGGGTCCCCGGAAATCCTGACCCTCTCGTCCAGGCCCGTTCTTATCGCAGGCTTCGGTCCCCGGGGCCCGGCGAGGGCCCCCAAAGGCCGAAGACTGCCCCAAACCACCCGTCGCATTTTTGTCCACAACGCGAGCATGCCTGGGGATTCAACCCTCTGCTCCTTGCACGCCTCCAGGTCCCGATCCCTCGCCTTGGCACAGAGGGGGTGGGGGGAGGGGGGAGGGCTTTTCTGTGAAGGAGGAGGCTGCTCGTTCCTTAGAAGGCTGCTCCTTAGGAGTCAGCCTCCTTCCAAGAAGCCTTCCCACCACCACCCCTTCCTTCCTCCTCCTCCTCCTCCTCCTCCTCCTCCTCCTCCTCCTCCTCCTCCTCCTCCTCCTCCTCTGGGGCGCGCGTGGCCGCTCGCCTCTACCGCCGCGAGCGCCGCCCGGCGGGAGATCGGAGGCAGGCTGCCCGCGAGGCTGACCGCCGGGGCTTCTGCCCGGGAGCCGAACCGCGCGCTCGGGAGCTGCTGGGCCGCGAAAGACAGGACCGCGGGGGCCTCGAACCGGGGCGCGCCGAGGTCGTCGAAGTACTGGTTGAGGGGCAGCTTGGCCTATAGGGGGACCAGCGATGACATGACCGTACAAACTCGGAGGAAGGTCCGCGCGGATTCCTCGGATCGGCGCTGAGGCCCCCTGGCGGCGCCACCAGCGCCGCCCCTAGCGCGCCAGGCAGGGGGGTCCAGCGCCGATCCGAGAAATCCGCGCGGTCCTCCGAATTTCTATGTTCATATCATTGTTTGTTCCCCTGTAGGGCCATCTCTTTCCGCATCCCAGTGGTCCTCGGAGAGGCAGCACCACATCGGCGGCGATCCCAGGGGGGGAGGGGTCGGAAGGGGCGGGCCTTCTCAAGGACTCGGAAGGCCTCTGGCCTTCCGAACCGTTTCCAGGGCCTCCTCCGAAGACGGAGGCGGCGTTTCAGAAGGCGGGAGGGCTTGTGAGCAGCCCCGTCGCCTTCTGAGAAGGCCTGCCCCCTCTCACGTCCCCCCCTGTGCTCGCCGACGAGATTTAGGTCGGGCATGTCCCCAGACTATTTTTGGACTATTTTTGAAGATTCCCCCCTGTAGAGGGACAGGCCCGACTCAAGACGAGATCGAGGGGCCCTGCGCGAGCACATCCGCCTCTGGAGGTCCGCGGGCGCTGGACCGCCGCTGGACGCGCTCCTGGCGCGCGCGCGGCGTGAGCCTGGGGCGGCGCCCGGGGCGCCGACGGAGGGGTCCAGCGCCGCTCCGAGACGTCCGCGCAGACTTCCGGGGGCCCACGCTTTTCGCCTCTTCTCGGCCACAGGCAGGAGTCAGGGCCGAACCCAAACGGTGCTGTTCGTTTTCGGTTTGTGCTCGTGTTCCATCGTTTTGTCTTCGATCCGCCCCTGCCGCAACACGAAGTCGAAACGAAAACACGGCCCACGCAATCGCCCAAACACCGTTTCGGCCCACCCCTGGCAGGAGTGACCCCAGGCAAGCGTGACCTCTGGTGCGCGGCCTCGGAGCCACGCGAGGGGGCCAGGTCCGAGCGCGCAGGCCAGACCCGGGGGTGGACGACCCCCCTGCGGGTCCGCACCAGAGGGCCACTCTGGCGAGGGGCCCCTCTGCCCGGACATCCGACGACATGACCTCCCACATGCGCGCGGCCCCAAAAGAGGTCCCGACCCCTTCCCCGGGGCCAGGCTTTCGTTCCCGCTGCATGCTTGATGGCCCAGGAGCTCAGCAGCGGCCCCAAAGCCCCAGGGGCCGACATCCGAGAACACACACCCAGATTGCCCAGGCCGTATCGTCGGAGACCAGGGCTGCGCACTGCCGCTCTCCGAGGTCCGCAAGACGTCGCAGTCCGGTCGCAGCCTGCGGACGGCGAAGCTGCCCCTGCCAGGCTCGGCGACCCACGAGTCGCGGGCCTGGGGGCCTCCCAAATGAGGTCTGAGTCACATCGCTGATGCATCGCCGATGCATCGGCGACGTGAGCGTGGAGAAAATCGAGCTCCACAGAGCTCTTGGCCGTGAAGCGCACCCCGGGACGCCAAGCTTCCAAAGACAAAGCTTGAACCTTCGCTTTGGATTCGGGCGAGAGTGGCAAGGGGATGTCCAGTGAGGCGGCGCCAGCCACTACGACACCCGAATAACAGTTGTTTTTGCATTGCAGCCATGTTTGCTTTGCAGTTGTTTTGCATTCCAGGTTGTTGTTGCATCTGGTCTGGCTGGTTTGGTGTGAGCTTAGTGCTGAAGCTTCAGCTTCGGATTCGGGCGAGAGTGGTATAGAGGAGGTCCAGGGAGGCAGCGCCAACGACTATGACCACCGAAAAACAAGTGTTGTTGCTTTGCAGCTTGTTTTGCTCTGCAGTTATTTTGCGTTGCAGTACTCTTGATGCATCTGGTCTGGCTGGTCTGGTTGGTCTGGTTTGAGCTTAGTGCTGAAACTTTAGTGTCGGATTCGGGCGAGAGTGGTTTTAGGGAAGGTCCCGGGAGGCAGCGCCAACGACTACGACCACCGAAGAGGAGTGTGTGTTGCAGTTGTTTTGTTCTGCTTTGCTGTTTTGTGTTGCGTTGCAGTTCTTTTGTTGCACCTTATCTGGCTGGTCTGGTTTAAGCTTAGTGCTGGAGCTTTCGCTTAGGATTGGCATGTGCTGTGTGTTGTATGTTGATTCGTTGCATTTGATTTGCATCTGGTCAGGCTGGTCTGGTTGGTCTGGCCGCTGTCGGGCTGGGCTGATCTAGATGGATTCGGAAACCGATTGCACATAAGCCGAATGGACAACGAAGTTGAGAGGGGGAGAGAGGACAAAGAACAGAAGGCAGAAAGAGGGCAGACCACGAATGAGCGCAACAAGTATGATCACGAGTGCGACTAGGAAGGCGATGACGACCAAGACGACGATAACTACGAAACCGAAGACTTGTACGACGACAACCGCGAGTTAAACTCCCCCCTTCCTGGAAGGAATGTTTTTCTTTGGGTCTGGTCTGTCTGGCTGGTCTGGCGCCATGTGTTCTTTTACATTGCATTTTTCTTTGGAAGGGAAGGAGGGGGAAAGAAAACGCTTTAGACCACCTACGCCCCAAATTGATAAACACTGCAAGAACGACCGCATCCATGTTTGGCTCTAGCACGACTCACGTCGGCTGTGTGCTATCTGCATGGCTGCCCACACAGGCCCATGCCGAAATCCAGACTACAAGCACACTTTCGTGGCCGGTCTAGCCGGTCTTGCGTTACTCTGATGATGGTCTGCTTGGCTTGGTCAATAACAACACCTTTAATCTCGCTGGACGGGTCACCGATACGTGAAGGCAAGTCAGACTCTCGGACCACAACAGATGGGGTAACCGTTGTTCCACTTGAGCGCCTCCCCCACACCCTCTATCCCACTGGATAGGATAACCGCTGGTATGTTTGGGTGTCCCTTCCAGGGCCTACCGGATGGGATAATCGACTTGTACGTCTGCCGAACCTTCTTTCCCACTGACTTGGATATTCGGCCCCCAGAGGAAACAAAGGAGGAGGAGGAGGAGGAGGAGGAAGATAATGAGGAGGAGGAGGAAGAGCGGGAAGGTGACGACGACGAGGAAGATAGGAGGCCCAGTGCCGCCGTCCGAGGAGGAGGGCGGCCGCGCGTCGGCGCCGCCAGGCATTCTTCCTCTGCCTCCGCCACGACGCAGAACAACCAGACCAGCCAGACCAGCCAGAGTTCGCGCGCGGCGGGACGCGAAACTTCAACAGAGCAAGCTTAAAGCTTGGGACTTAAAGCTCCAACTTGAGACCCAAACTGGTCTGGTTGGTCCACCGTGACGGTATGACTGGCTTGGCTGGCTAGCCTGCTTGGTTCGGGCAGGTTGGTCTGCTTAGTCAGGTCTGTGCTTCGCTGGTCCGGACGGCTAGCTGGTTTGCCTAGTCTGGTCGGTCCACTTGGCTGGATTGGCTGGCTGGTCTGGCTAGTCTGCTTGGTCAGGGCGGGTTCGTCTGCTTAGTCAGGTCTGTGCTTCGCTGGTCCGAATGGCTGGCTGGTCTGGTCCCAGACATGCGAGGTCCTGATTTTTTCTGGACGGCGTCCCCGCAAGTCCCGACCCCGTCCCCAGGACTGGTGTTTCGTCTTGAGTCGTTGTTTGACGGTCACGAAGCCCGGCGAGGGCCCCCGAAGGCCGAAACTAGCGAAAAACCTCCCGTCCTGAATTTTTTACGACGCCATCATGTCTGGGGTTGGTCTGGTAAATCAGCCTGGCTGGTCTGGTTGGTCTACCTGGCTGGTTTGACTGGACGGTCTGGCTAGTCTGCGTGGTCGTCGCCGTCGGCCTCGTCCTCGCCATCGACTTCCTCCTCCTCTTCTTCCTCCACTTCTTCCTCCTCTTCTGCCTCCTCCTCCTCCTCATCCTCTTGCTCCTCCTCCTCCTCCTCCTCCTCCTCCTCCTCCTCCCCCTCCTCCTGGGGCCCGCTTGGGAGCCTCTTGGGGCCCTCTTGGGGCCCCCTTGGGGCTCTCTTGGGGTGTCTTGGGGCCCTCTTGGGCCTTCTTGGGTCCCGTCGTCACCGTCCTGCCCCTTGCGTCACCGAAGCCGGGGTTTGGACCGCAAGCGCTGCTGCGCCAAGCCCGGCTGCGGTGGAAATGGAGGCAGGAAGGGATGGAACACCATACATCAGCAGCCATATCAGTTCTCATGCCCCAGAGCAGGGCAGGGCGAGGGGGGCATAAGAACTTGTCGCCCCGAGCGGCTGAGAACATCGAGCCGCCACGCCGATGCATCGGCGCTGCGGCGCGATCCTCCGAACCCAGCTGCCTGGACCCCATGTGGGAGCAGAGGAGCAAGCTAATGAATAAGCATGACTTCTCGCAGGTCGCAAGGATTGCTCGGCTCGGCGCTGGGGGCCCCAACGCCGATTCGAGCAATCCGCGCGAACTCCGAGGGAGGCCTGCAGGGTCGGCGGCGCGGATGGCCAAACAATCACTGCAGACAAAGAACGACTGGAGCCCCGGACCCCACCGCTCTTAGCGCCACATGTCGAGCCATATCGATATCTAGGGGCCTTAAGGGGCCCGCAGCCAGGGCGAAAATGCCCGTGGTGAGAAACAGCAGCGCCAGGATCCGCAGACATCCGGCGTCTCGATGTTTTCGAGACGCGCCCCCCCCCACCTCTCGACCACTTCCCTGAGACCGGCTTCTCATCCCGACCAATGTTCTGACGGCCCCGAAGCCCGGTCGGGGTCCCGACAGGCCAAAACCGATGAAACACCTCCGTCCCGATTTCTGTCGAGATTCTGGGTGTCTGGTTTTGACGCCCGGAAAGGGAACGGAAAACATGGGCACGATGCCCAACAGCAAATGTTGTCCCAAACCGACAGCGGCCGTTGTCGGGCAGGCGGCCTTCTGTCTCAACGAATCACCGTCCGCGGCGACATCGACAGCGAGCCCTGTTCAAAGTCAACAAGAACTGCTGTCGGTCTTCGTGCCCATTCTTTCCGTACCCATTTCGATCGTACCAGACGAGGTACGGAGACCGACAGTAGTTCTTGTTAATCTTGAACAGGGCAGGCTGTCGATGTCGCCGCGGACGGTGATTCATTGAGACAGAAGACCGCCTGCCCAACAACGGCCGCCGTCGAACTGGGACAACACTTGCTATTGGGCATCGTGCCCATGTTTTGCGGCACCTCGAACACATCCACTAGACGGAGGCGCGTCTCCCCCAAAATTCGAGACGCCAGATGTATGGGCATCATGGTGCTACTATGTTTGACTGCTTCCTGCTCCCATTCCGATCGCACCCATCTGGGTCTCCCCCGAGGCCTGCATGGCCCACGGCCCCGGGCCGCGCCGCGGCCGTGCGTCCGGGGGCTTCCGCGGGGCCGGCGCCGTCGGCCCGCCAGCAGCGGCCGCGGGCGGCGACCAAGCCGGCGGGTGCCGTGCCCGCGGGGACGGCCCCGGCGCCGCCGGCGCCACGGCCACCTTCGAGGGCGAGGGGAGGCGGAGGAGACCTCCTCCTCCTCCTCCTCCTCCTCCTCCTCCTCCTCCTCCTCCTCCTCCTCCTCCTCCCCTCCTCCCCCTCCCCCTCCCCCTCCCCCTCCTCCCCTTCCTCCTCCTCCTCCTCCTCCTCTTCCTCCCCTTCCACCTCCTCCTCCTCCAGACGGAGGGAGGCGGGGTCCGTAGCCGTTTTGGCTCAGGCCATGTCGGCTCAGGCCATTTTGGCTCAAGCCATTTTGGCTCAAGTGGCCATTCTGGTTCAAAAAGTGATCACCAAGGCGTTCTGCGTGATCTCTGTGGGGGGGTTCTTGCACTTACCCTACTCAAGCCCACCAGCTTCTACACCGTAGGCGATGGCCACCGCTGGCACGCAGTCCTTCTTCATTCGTTGTCACAATTTCGGCAATAAGAAGACTTGTTCGTGGCAGTCTCATTGTTACCGCTGTTATCATCCTCTACTTCCTGGGCATCGAGTCCGACCCCGACCACCCAGACCCGCCCGAGGTGCTTTGGGAAAAGGACGTGGCAACCTTGCCAGAACTGGGGGCTCGGAGCATATCTCCAACTCCTCTTGAGAACCGATCCCACCAGGACAAAAGCAACGCCCGCCATGGCACAGGCAAGGAACATGGCGCATCCAGGACCGAGTACATGGCAGGAAAGGCGGCAGACACGGTCGCGGCAAAGGCAACGGCAAAGATTATGGCAAGGGCCATTGCAAAGGCAGTCCCCTCTCTACATCCGCTCTCCTCAACCAGCTGGTCCAGAGAGAAGAGTTACGTTCATCTTACGACAACTTGTACCAGCTGGACAACTCCGACGGCGACGAAAGATCAGACGAGAACTTCACAGACCGCGAGGATCAAGCCAGAGAGGACAAGGACATGCTCGCAGCTACGCGGGCTACGCGAGGCGCTAAAGACAAGCGCTCCGAGGTCGACGTCACCGCCGACGTGGTGCAGAGCTTACTGGCCTCAGACGAGGGGCTCTCAGGCCTCCCAATTGATTCAACAGATGCTATCTTCTAAGCCTTCCAACAGCATGCCAGCAAATGGGCAAAGGGCCAGGCTAAAGGCGGAAAGAAGGTGGACGGTCGTTTCGAAGCTCAGCTCGCATCTAAGTCCTCGCGTGGGCTACATATTCTAACAATCACCGTATCTGGGTGGGGAACAGGGCGAGTGCTCCTACAAGCCTGCGAAGCATATGATACAGAGCTTCATCAGGAACACCGGCTTTTCCCAGAGAAGCTGAAAGGATGTCTCATACAGCTGCGTGTACTTGGGTGGAAGGCTTTGACCTCAGCCGCAATACCTGGCCCAAACAAAAGGCCCGCAGCAGGCGTCATGATAGCATGTCGTTCCAATTTGGATGCATGGGCAAACCCAGTATCTCAAGAACTGGTACCTGGAAGAGTATGCCGATGCTTCTTGCGAACATCAAGTCGGGTTCTCTATCAATATATTCCTCTTGCTTGAAAGATAAGGAGGGGCTTGGGCAGATCAACGAAGATATACTTCGTAAGATAGGCCTAGATGCGGTCGAACATGGACATCAATGTGTAGTCGGCGGCGACTTCAACAAGCCCCCCAACGAGCTAGACGCCCCCAAAAATTTAACCTGCTCGATTGCTGTGTGAAGGCGCCGGCAGACCCCACCTGCATCCAAGCAGGCTCCAAGACTACAATCGATTACTTCATCATGGGCACCCTCCTCTCCCATCTCATCAAGTGTCGGCACCGTTCGGGGCATACCGCTGTCTCCACACAGGCCCGTGGAACTTGAGGTGAAGGCATGCACGCACGACATCAAAGTGCAGGTGGCCAAGAAGTACCAGCAGTGCCCAACAGACAAGGCCGTTGGACCAGCGCCGCAGCCCCCCTCCTACGACCAGCTGGCCGAGGACCTGCAGGACGTCGTGACCAGCCAGACCGACGCAGACGACGAAATCTGGACAGCGGGCAGCAAGGCAGATGCACAAGGGATCGGCGTCAACTTACTGGAGACTGTCTATGGCAAATGGGTCGACTCAACCAGGGATGAACTTCCGCAGGTGACCCAAACGATGCCTGTAGGCAAGCAACCCGGCACACCACTTGAGTTCATACAAATTCCACTTCGGCGATTTCTGAAAAATAATGTCCGGAACAGCGTAAGTCCCGAGCGGGCCATATGTTGGATGGTCAACCTACTCCAAGGGATCGCTTCGCTGTGCTGTACACTGCCCGAGGGTGTTGCGCTTCCTCCCTACCTCAACAAGCTGTTGTCGATGTTGCACAATCACCCATCGCGGGGAAGGCCGTTTCGTGAATTCTGGCCGCTGCAGGCCAATGCATGGCATGATCTTCTACTCCAGGTAGCGAGAACCCTCTGGGGCGATGTAACAGAAGACCAGAGAGTTCATGGGCGCTATCCTTATTGCCTTGGGTGGCCTCCAGGGACACTGCAAAGGACGGGACGACCAAGAGCGACGAACCAATTGGGAGGAAAGGTGCGAACAATTCCTGGAAGATGGAGGATCCCAAGCATACTGGCACCTGAAATGAAGGCGGAATTGGAAATGGACCAGCTCCTATTTAGAGAAGGGGCAGTTCCTCGCTCGCTACCCAAGCTCATGGAGCACCACGTCAGCGCACGGGGCAAGAAATGGAATTTCTCCCCGAAGAAGGAATCTCCATACATTGGTTCCGTCAGGAGTCCAGTTCCTCCACATGCCCCTCCCGAGTACATGGCAAGACAAAGCCGCAAATTCCACCAGCCCTCTGGGAGTCGGTGGTTTAGAGAGTTTCCTCTTCCACCCCTCCTTCTTCCCCTTCGGGGAGTGGTTTACCCCTCCCCCTCCCCCCTCCCCATGGACCTGGACAGGGGGTCTCGCGAGTCGTCGGAGCGTCCAAAACGGCCTCGGCGAGGAAGCCAACATCATTGATTTTACGAGGGTTTGGGCCCCATTTTGGCTTCTTGGGGGGGGGACGCAAATTGAACACCCCCCCTCCCTGATCGATCTCACCCAAGATGGCCCAACGATGGCCCCCAAGGCTCCCAAGGGTGCCCTAAGAGGGCCCCAAGAGGTGGCCAGGAAGCCCCAAGAGGCCCCCAGGAGGCCCCCAGGATACCCCAAGAGGCTCCCAAGAGACCTCCAAGAGATCTCCAAGAGGCCCTAAGAGGCCCCCCAGAGGCACCCAAGACGCTCCAAGAGGCCTCGGCGACAATGCCAATATCGTTGATTTTACCGAGGTTGTGGCAACATTTTGGCCTCCTGGGGGGGGGGGGGGGGGGGCACTGCTTCAGATGACTCCAAGAGCACCTGGGAGAGCAAAAGATGATGTCCAAGATGGCTCAAGATATCCCAAGATGCCTCAAGATGGCGCCCACGATGCTCCAAGAGGCCCCAAGACCGCTCCAAGACGGCTCCAAGTGGCCAAAGAGCTCCCCCAGGAGGCCCCGAAGAGGCCCAAATCCTTCCAAATCCTTGGGGAAATCAATGTTTTTGGCTTTCTCGCCGAGGCCTCAAGATGGCTCCAAGATGGCCCAAGAGGGCTCCAAGAGCGCTCCCACGGCTCCCAAGAGCGCTTCAAGAGGGCCCCAAGAGGCGTCCAGGAGGCCCCAGGAGGCCCCAACAGGTGCCCAAGAGGCCTCGGCTCCCAAGAGACCCCCAAGAGGCCCCACGAAGCTCTCCGAGGCACCCAAGACGCTCTAAGAGGCGTCCGGGACCGCCAAGAGGCCTCCGAGATGCTCTAAGAAGCCTCCACTGGGGGACCCTTCCTCTGTGTGCTGCCCGCTTCCCTGATCGAGGCAATTCCTCTGGGCATCGTTTCTGGATGGGCTGGTGGGGATTCACTTTTTTGGTCAGCGGCCCCGAGACTAGGGTCAGGGAGCGAAGGCGACGTCCGGGCCAGTTGGTGGGGATTCGCGAAGCGTCAACAATTCAAGAGCAGGACTTGCCAGCCAGACGGGTTCCATCTCCGCCGCTATTCCCTGCTGTCGGAAAGCTGCCTCCGAATGCAGGCGCTGCTGTTCACGGCCATGGACATACTCGGGGAGGCCCCCACCCCACTGCGCATCGTCCTCATCCAGCTGGCCAACAAGTACAAGGGTGGAGGCCGGCGCACCCTCGGCTTCTTCACGGCATTCATCCACCTCCATGAGTGGACGCTCAGCAGACATTGCCGCGCCCAGGAATCCGACGAGGGCATGGGCGCAGAAAATTCGGCCACCCAAGGCCGAGGTGCAGTCGAACAAGCAAGGATACTACGTTTCCTTGCTGTGGGAATTGAAATCCTCCTAAGTTACGGTGCCATCACCTGCTGCGTCAACACGGGCATCACAGAATATTTCCTGCGTGTATCTTGGCCTACGGCATACGCATGTAGCAGTGGCCGCGTCGTCTGATGCTTGACGGCCATGATGATCTCGGACCCGCTCTACCCCGAGACCAGCATCATAGCTGGGGCATCTCGCGCTACCTACGAAGCAAAGGCTTTCATGATACCACTCATGGACTAAATTTCGGTGCCAAAAAACCGGGTGCAACTTGCACATCGACGACCTCACCCTGGCAGCGTGGGCCGACAACGTCACAGAAGTAGTATAATATATCGTCAACCTGGCTGTCAGCATGCATGGGCAGATCACCGACCATCTACTGACGCTTGCGCAGCCGAAGCTCTGCGTCGTGGCCAAGTCTCCTCTAGTTTTACACATGAAACACAAATATCTAGGGGAGCTCGCTGCCGCTCCCGAGTGGAACGTCGCCAACCTCGGGGTGATTTCACATGCGGCAAGCATAAAAAAAGGAAAAGGGTGCACAGCCAAACGTCAAGAAACGATGGCTACAGTTACAAGCCCGGGTGGGCAGGGTAAAGAAGATGAGAAGCACCAACACAAGAACACACAGGGCGACAATATTTATTGTCGGAGTTCGGTCAGGGCTCGCGTACGGCGCGGCG